CACCTCTGTCCCTCTTCTACAAATATTGTAATTTTTGGTTTTTTATTTAGGTTTATGATACACTTCTAATTTTTGTAATGGTGTGAAGTGGGATTAATGGTCAGTTTTTAAAAATACAGATATCCAGTAGTTCCAGTAGCATTTATAGAAAAGACTTCCCTTTTACCCATTGAATTGCCTTGACATGTTTGGGGAAAATGAATTTACCAAATATTAGTGGATCTATAGCTGGAGTCACTATACTGTTTCAGTGATCTTTATGTAGATTCTTTTACCAAAACCCTAATTTTTGAATTTTTGTTTTAATTATTATTCCTCTATAGTAAACCGTAAAATCAGATAGTTTTATCCAACTTTATTCTTTTTATTTTTATTTTTTTTTTAAATTTATTTATTTATTTGAGAGAGTGAGAATGAGAGAGAGAGAGAGTACATGAGAGGGGGGAGGGTCAGAGGGAGAAGCAGGCTCCCCACTGAGCAGGGAGCCCGATGCAGGACTGGATCCCGGGACTCCAGGATCATGACCTGAGCCGAAGGCAGTCGCCTAACCAACTGAGCCACGCAGGCGCCCGATCCAACTTTATTCTTTTTAAAAATGGCTTTTGCTCTTCTAGGTCTGTAGGAATTTTCATTATACATTTTAGAATTCACCTGTCAATAGTAACCAAATTACCTGCAGGAATAGAAATCAGGATTGCACTGACTCCATAAATCCATCTGGGGAAAATTAAGAATACTGAGTTTTCCAATCCATGAACATACCAGATTGCTCCCTTTAGGTCTTCTTTAATATCACAGAGCAATATTCCATTTTTTCCAATGAAGAAGTCTTGCATGTCTTTTGTTAACTTTAATGTGCCAAATTTTTATAATTTTTCTATGTTGCTATTACTATAGTTTTTGAAATATAATTTTATTATTATGGAATCTAACAATAAAATATTTGAGGGTTGTCTTTGTTTTGTATTCATTTCATGTTTCCTAGAGATTTAATTTTATAAAATTTTTCAAAAGAATCAGTCTATGAGAGATTGTCCTTTACCACAGATAGTAAGAAAAGGACTTGTCTAGAGATAAAAACCTGAGATTTGGTCAGTGCTTTCAGTTTTCATCATCTTCCAAGCATTTCTGGAAAGGGGGAATAAAGAGCCAGGGCAGTGCATGCCCAACTGTTTTGGAAAAACTGCTCTGGAAGTGCACATATCAATCCTGCTCATAGCCCATGACCATACCTTGCTGGGAAATGTAGCGTTAGCTGGCTTACATGAGTCCGGTTATAGTTATTTCTATGGAAGAAGGGGAACATGGATACGGATATAGTGGGGAACAACTGGCATTCTGTCACCATGGATGTTTCTGGATACCTAAATATTAATGCACTCCTGTCTTTCAATGTCACTAACATACTCACACCTCCTCAGATGAGACATCTCAAAAGGCTCTTCTGGGTGAATGGCTTGGATCTCAAGCTGATATGCATTCTCCTCCATCAAGTTTGACTGTGGCTTCTCATGACCTGATGACCTACTGTGGAGCAGAGTACATTGTACCACTTACTAGTCCCAGGGAAGGACGCTAAATATGTGGAGGATCATTGCCATGTCAACCACCAGGAATAGAAGGTCCAAACACTTCTGCCCATTGCATCTTGGTATCAAAGTGGCCAAGGAAGACAGCACTAAATGAAACAATGCTTTACTTACCTAGAAGGGGGACAGAGCAAGATTAGGTTCAGTGGTGTACCACAGGGTCTCTCCCAGCAGTGACACAGGGCAGCTGGCCTCTGCTGACCCCTCTTACGCCACAGTTGAAGGAACTCTGTTCCCTTCTCAAGGAGGACAGATATAACAATGGGCTTGGCCAGGTGCCATTTGACACACATGCTTTAAGCCGAGACAAGAGAGTACTTATTGAGTCTAAAACAAGAAAAGATATTCTCACACAGGGCGATAAGCCTGCACAGACCGTGCGGGCTCTTTATCTCTTGGTAGGAAGTATTCCAGGCCCAAGGCCGGTTCCTATGCAACAGAAAGGGGGCGGGTGGAAAGACTGCATGCATGAGGCTGCCTTCCCCAACACTCATAAAACAAAGAACACAGGTTTGTATCCTTCCTAAAGATGCACATTGAAATGGTCGGCTAGGTCAAGGACAACTGCAATAAAATCCTTATTTGGAAAAGAAAAGAAAGGAATTGTAGACACCAGCCAGCAATGCTCCATAGCACTGATTAATTCTCGCAGAACCAATTGTGAAGGCTCCTTGCCTTAGCAGTAGAGTGACTTTTAGGGCAGACTCTGGTTCTATTCTCTGGGCAGAACTCTTTTATCTATTGTTCTCTCTCTCCCCTTGTTCTATAATGAAGTGGACACCTAGAGAGTCTGGCCCACTTAAAGTCTGTGTCACATGTACAACTTGCTTCTTGCTGATGCAGGACATACTGGGCTCCTCCTCCAGATCCATTCCATCTGGGTCAAAGCCCAGGGTCCTGGATGGATACAGAGACTTTTCCATGGTGTGTTGGAGGATTTATCATCCGGCTAGGAAATAGCATCCGCCATTCCTCTCCCATCTCAATGGCTAGAACTTTTCTTTTTTTTTTTTTTTTTAAGATTTTATTTATTTGTTTGAGAGAGAGAGAATGAGAGACAGAGAGCATGAGAGGGAAGAGGGTCAGAGGGAGAAGCAGACACCCTGCCGAGCAGGGAGCCCAATGTGGGACTCGATCCCGGGACTCCAGGATCATGACCTGAGCTGAAGGCAGTCGCTTAACCAACTGAGCCACCCAGGCGCCCCTGGCTAGAACTTTTCATGTGGATATAACTGGCTGCAAGAGAACAGGAAATGCAGACTTGAGCTGAGTAGCTCTGCCCTCACCTAAAACTTAGGAGTCCTGTTATTAAAGATGTAGATGAAGGATACTTGTGAGCAGTTAGTCAATCTTGGCCATACTCAGGCATGATATCTCATTTCTACACCACACTGGTCCAGTCATGGAACTCAGTTTTCGGGACTCACAAACAAACATAAACACATGCACACTCACACAAAGCTTTTGTTGGTGATAATAGACTACTTACTCAGTTTGGGAAAGATAGATACTATTTATGTCACAAAGGATGGAAATTATCCTACCACACCTTCTTGTTCTTTAAGGACCCTCATCCCTTTCACTATGTTTCTCAGCCTCTATTTTCCCTTTACTTTGCCTGCTCTGTATTTCGGACTTACAATTCAGTCCTATTGCTGAGAGCTTTGGCTTCCTTTCTGTGTCCTTGACAATTCTAAAGCCCTAACAGTCTCACTTTCCACCCAAGTGATATTATTAAGGGATTTTGCTAAAGGAAGACGGTTTTCCTTTAAAAGGAATTCAAGGGCCAAGTGTTAAAATTATTATTTTCTTTTATCCTGCTCATAGTTTGTGTATGGTAGAGAAGGGACCAGAATGAAAAAAAAAATATGCTGGGTGATAGACATTGGGGAGGGTATGTGTTATGGTGAGCGTTGTGAATTGTTAAGACTGTTGAATCACGGACCTGTACCTCTGAAACAAATAATACATTATATGTTAAAAAAAAAAAAAAAAGAAGAAGAAGAAGATAACAAGAAGGAAAGAATGAAGGGGGGAATATTGGAGGGGGAGACGAACTGTGAGAGACTATGGACTCTGAGAAACAAACTGAGGGTTCTAGAGGGGAGGAGGGTGGGGGGATGGGTTAGCCCAATGATAGGTATTAAGGATGGCATGTATTGCATGGAGCACTGGGTGTTATACGCAAACAATGAATCATGGAACACTACATCAAAAACTAATGATGTAATGTATGGTGATTAACATAACATAATAAATATATATATATACATAATATGTACAATACATATATTTGCATAGTGAGATTATGGAAATATTATTTTTTCTGTTATTTTACAAATGTATTATTATAGAAATAGATTTCCTTTGTAATCTGAAACATGAATTATGTTAAATAGATTATATTAAGGAATCAATAATTTTCTCCTGAAAATTGGTAAACCTGTGACATGAATTATATTCAGCCCAGCTTCATATCTGCATTTCTATAGGTAAGAAAAGAGAAAAGATCACATAATAATAGCTAACATTCATTGAATGCTTACTATGTTGTAGCTAATTTACTACATACTATGTATGAATTAACTAAGTGAATACTTATTACAACCCTAACAAGTAAGTACTATTTTTATTATTTTCATTTTATCGATAAGGAAACACTGAGAGGTCAAGTTTCTTGTGCAAACTCACACAGCTAATAATAATAATCAAAACACTTGCAGTGCTTATTAAATGTGTTGTTTTATGAGCTATATGCATATTAATACTATTTAATTCTCTCCTGTGAATGCTATGTGACAGACATCATGCTGCCCATTCACAGATGAGTAAACTGAGGGCCAGAAAGTTTTAGTAACTTGCCCAAGTTTACACAGCTAGTAAGTGGCAAGGGATTTGAATCTGGACAGTCTGGGTCCAAGTCCATGCTCCGAAACTTTGCACTCTTAAACATTAATATTCACTATGCAAGCTTGTATTGTAAAACTAACGAGTTTACTCTCTCAAACAAAGGGGTCCTTGCAGAGATTGCCTTTCAAATACCAACGTCAGGGACGTAAAGCCTGGTGAAGAGTCTGACTGCTGGGTCATTGTGTGTGTTAGTGAGGTCTGTGCAAATTGAGTTCCACTATGGAATCTAGTTGGGTGCATCCATTCACAGCAGGGCGGGAAGACTCCTAGGAGGGCAAGGTTTGAATTACAGCAACCTGAAGATGAAGTGAGACCCTTGCCTGGAAAGTAAACATCAGAATGCTTATTCAAAAAGCAAAGCCTGGATTTGTTAGGCTCTCTTGAGAGATGCCATCATTATTAAAGGCCTTATACCAGCTGGCTTCCCGTGCACAGGAAAGCCTAATGATGCTGACAGGTCACATAAGCTTGCACTAATGGGCTCGTGTTTTATTTATTCAGGTGCTGATTTGACATTTCCCAGCCCCGATGAATCTATGGATTTGGAAATAACTGGGTCCTCTCTATATATACCGTGATGTTATCTCCCCAAATGAAGGAAATGGGAAACAGGAAAGGCCTCGATTCCCTGCAGATAGCTCTCATGGTCTACAATGAGAATTCAAATACTACAAAAAGCATTAGGCAAAATTTAAAACACAAATCACTGGTGTTTAACATGATATATTGCAAAGAAATTTCTGGCACTCAAAATCTCTCTTTAAGCAACACTTCCACACAGCGCCAACTAAATAATGTAACAGCATCTGGACGCCTTCTAAATCGAGTATGAAATTATGTATTTCTCCCGTGACACAGATGAGACCAAAAGGCAACATTTCCTAAAATAAAAAATGAAGAGTAAATTAAGTAGTGGCCAAGGAAGACTCTTGTGCTTTCTTCCTTTTATTTTTAAAAATAACTTTTATTATTGAAGTAAAACATACATCTAGAAGAGTGAACAAATCATGGATGTTTATTTTGGCACATTTTTACACACACCCATGAAACTACCACTTGGACCCAGAAGAGAGTGCCACCATGTTCTCAGAATCTACATGACCTCTTTAAACCCTGCCTTCAAAATTAATCACTGTCCTGACTTATTTTTTTCTAATTTTCATTTTAAAATATAGCACAGATACATAAACCACATTATATGTATATATATGTGTGTGTGTGTGTGTGTGTATATATATATATATATATATATATATATAAAATAAAAATAATTATAAAGCAAACACTTGTAACTACCATACAGGTCAAGGGATAAAAGTTGACCAGCCATCCAGTACCCTACCACATGCTTCGTCCCTCTGGCAGGAAGACGGAGACTTATCCAAGTAATATAAAAACCATGTCCTTGCTTCACTTTATAGTTTTCCCACCCCATTGTGTATCTTTAAACAAAAAAAAGTTTAGTTCTGTTTTTTTAAAAAATATGTTACTGAGCCTGACTGGCTCAGTCGGTAGAGCACGTGACTCTTGATTTTGGGATTGTAAATTCAAGCCCCACATTAGGTGTAGAGATTACTTAAAAGTAAAATCTTGGGACGCCTGGGTGGCTCAGATGGTTAAGCGTCTGCCTTCGGCTCAGGTCATGATCCCAGGGTCCTGGGATCGAGCCCCACGTCCGTTCCTGGCTCAGCGGGGAGCCTGCTTCTCCCTCTGCCTCTCCCCCTGCTCATGCTCTCTCTATCTCTCTGTATCTCAAATGACTAAATAAAATCTTAAAAAAAATAATAAAAGTAAAATCTTTTTTAAAAATGTTATTTAAGTCTCCTTTAATCTAAAGGTCCCCCTCTATCATCATCTTTTACTTGTTCATTGTGTTTGTTGAAAAAATTAGGTCTTTGTCCCAATAGTATTTCCCATCATCAGGCAATATGGCCAAAAATTTCAAACCTGATCATTTCAAAGATGATCAAGGTCATAGCTCTTTTAAATGTCAATTTATAGGCAATACAAAGGACAGAGTGAATTCTTACAATACTTATGTAGATGCACTCAGCAATACCCAGTATACCATCTATAGGAAAGTCAGGAGAAATGCTTGATTTATTTCTTTAAAAAAAAAAGGCTTAAAAAATAATAAGTTAATTCCCTATCATCCTTCAGAGGTAGTCAAATTCTTTTTTTTTTTTTTTTAAGATTTTATTTATTTATTTGACAGAGAGCACAAGTACGCAGAGAGGCAGGCAGAGGGAGAGGGAGAAGCAGGCTCCCCGCGGAGCAGGGAGCCTGATGCGGGCCTTGATCTCAGGACCGTGGGATCGTGACCTGAGCCGAAGGCAGCCGATTTCACCGACTGAGCCACCCAGGTGCCCCAGAGGTAGTCAAATTCTTAAAGCATTATTACAAACTCATATATTTAACTTATATTTATTTATTTATTTATTTATTTTTTAAGTAGGGTTTCATGCCCAGTGTGAAGCCTATGCAGGGCTTGAACTCACGACCCTGAGATCAAGACCTGAGCTGAGACCAAGAGTCAGACACTTAAATGACTAAGCCACCCAAGCCCCCCTTAACTTGCACTTTAGATTAAGTGAAAGTAATTACTTTAGAATTCCAGAAACCATGCCAGCATATTTAAGAATATAAAATATGGTTTTCATCACTTTTCCTAAATCAGTGTATTTTTTTTTTCAGAGAGATAAATTTTCTTATTCGTGGACCATTTAAAATATTTTACTCTTTTTATCCTTACTGATGTTCACCCTTTCCACCTTTGGTTGGTGGAAGCTTCTTCAAGTTGCTCTTGTGTCTTTTTGATAATAATCCAGTACTCTTTGATAGCTTACTTGCTATGACAAGATACACTAGGCTTATTTTGTATATTTCTTGCCCAAGTCCTGGAATTAATTTCTTCAAGAAGTTTTTATTTTTTTTAATAGAAAATGATATTTTAAGATCACATCTCAGGGTCTAAGTGTGCTCATTGCTACTGGGTAGATCACTGTTATAGGATAGGAGAAAAAAATAAAATGGAGGAGAAAATATTGCCAATTACATATATCGGATAAGGGATTAATACCCAAAATATAGAAGGGAACTCTACAATTAAAATATAACACAACAAAAACAAATAGCCAGATTAAAAGTGGACAAAGGACTTGAATAGACATTTCTCCAAAGAAGACATACAAATGGTCAGTAATCACATGAAAATATGCTCAATGTCATTAATCATTAGAAAAATGCAACTCAAAAGCACATTGAGATATCACCTCATACCCATCAGGATGGCCACTATTACAAGAATGGAAAACAAAAAATGTTGGTAAGGATGTGAAGAAATTAGAACACTTGTGCCCTGCTGATAAGAATATAAAGTGATGCTGCCACATGGAAAACAGTATGGAAATTCCTCAGAAAATTAAAAATAGAATTACCGTAACATTCAGTAGTCCAACTTCTGACTATATACTCAAAAGGATTTAAAACAGATTTTCAGCGGGCGCCTGGGTGGCTCAGTCATTAAGCGTCTGCCTTCGGCTCAGGTCATGATCCCAGGGTCCTGGGATCGAGTCCCACATCGGGCTCCCTGCTCTGCGGGAGGCCTGCTTCTCCCTCTCCCGCTCCCCCTGCTTGTGTTCCTGCTCTTGCTATGTCTCTCTCTGTCAAATAAATAAATAAAATCTTTAAAAAAAAACAAAAACAAAAACAGACTTTCAGCAAGATATTTGCACACTCATGTTCATTGCAGCATTATTCACAATAGTCAAGAGGTAGAAACAACCAAAATGTCCATCAATGGATGAATGGATAAAGAAGATGTGGTCCACACAATGGAATATTAGGTGGCTTTAAAAAAGATGAAAATCCTGTCATATGTTATAACACGGATGAACCTTGAGGACATTAAGCTAAGTGAAATGAGCCAGTTGCAAAAGGAAAAATACTGTGTGATTCCACTCATCTGAAGTTTCTAAAACAGTCAAAATCACAGAAACAGAAAGTATAGAGATAATTGCCAACGCCTGGGGAAGGGTGAAGTGCTTATTAGTGTTTAGCGGGTATAGAGTTTCAGTGTTGCAAGATGTAAAAGTTCCAGAGATCTGTTGCACAACATTGTAAATATACTTAACATTACTGAACTGTAGACTTAAAAATGGTTAAGAGGGGGATGGGGGGTGCGGAGCAAGATGGCGGAGGAGTAGGAGACCTGGATTTCGTCTCCTCTCAGGAATTTAGCTGGATAGGGATCAAACCATTCTGAACACCTACAAACCCAACAGGAGATCGAAGAAAGGAATAGCAACAACTCTCTCATCAGAAAAGCGACCACTTTCTGGAAGGTAGGACGTGCGGAGAAGTGAATCCGCAGCGATATTCGGGAGGATAGACGGCGGGAGAGGGGCCTCCGTCGGCCGCTTCTGGCAAGTGATAGAACCACGGAGCACAAAATCGGAACTTTTAAAAGTCGGCTGAGGGACGTCACTCTGGTGGCTAAGCGGGGGGTGGAACCCTCCGGGACAGTGTGGTCTCAGGACCCTCGGGGTCACAGAAAGACCAGGGGTGCCTGAGGGCGGCAGAGCTCCCAGGTATCGGAGCAGGGAAGCCGGCTGCAGAGGCGGAGCCCAGGCGCGGGCTCTCAGCTCGGGGTGGCCATAAACCGTGATCCGCGGCACAGTCGGGCCCCTGCTCCTCCAGCAGGGACCCCACAAGCGGCAGATCCGGGGAGACTCACCTTCTTCCCCCTGGAGGAGCCGCGCGGGAGTGCACCGCAGGGATCTGCTGGGTTTGGAGACTCCACCCGGGGTCGGGTGCCAGAGATGGAAACGCGCGGTCACAGGCGGGGGGAGCACGGAGTGCGGCCGGAGACCGGGGAGACGGGAGTGACTGACGGCTTTTCTCTGGGGGCTCACTGAGGAGCAGGGCCCCAAGTTCTCGGCTCCTCCGGGGCGGAGATTGGGAGGCCGCCATTTTCACTCTCGGCCTCCAAAACTGTAGGGAAAGTTCCCAGGGAACAAAAGCTCTGGAGAGCAAACCCGAGCAGATGACTTAGCCGGGAGGGGGCAAGGGCGGGGCAATTCCGCCTCCGGCAGAGACATTTGGAAACCACGGCAACAGGCCCCTCCCCAGAAGATCAGCGAGAACAGCCAGCCAAGACCAAGTTTACCGATCAATGAGAACGGCAGAACTCCAGCGCTGGGGGAATAATGCACATAGAATCTGTGGCTTTTTTACCATGATTCTTTAGTCTTTCAAAGTTAAGTTTTTTTTTAACTGTCTTTTTTTTTTTTTGAATTTTTCTTTTTCCACCAATATCTTATCAATCCCTTTAAAAAAAAAAACATTTTTATTTTTCATTTTTAGAGTCATATTCTATCCCTTCATAGTAGTTACCCGTATTTTGGGCTTATACATATAAGTTGTTCTCTCTTTAAAATTTTGAGATAGTTACTTCTAACAGATTAAAATATACCCTAAATCTCTAGTATATGGTGTTTTCTATTCCTCTGCCTGATCACATCCTCTCCCTTTTTTTTTCTTTTTTCTTTTTTTAAATCCTCTTCTTTCTTTTTTCAAACAACTTCTTATCAATTCCTTTTATAAAATTTTTTATAATTTCCATCTTTACAGTCATATTCCATCCCTTCATCATATCAACCCTTATTTTTGTACATATATAAGTTTTTCTTTCTTTAAAATTTTGGGAGGCACTTTCTTCTAAAAGACCAAAATACACCCCAAATCTAGTGTGTGGCACTGATCTATATACCAGCCTGATCATATTTGATCACATTCTATTTTTGTTGTTGTTGTTGTTGTTTTGTTTTGTTTGTTTTTGTTTTTATCTTTTTCTTTTTCTTTTTTTTCTTTCTCTTTTTTCTCTCTTTCCCTTTCTTTTCCCACTGCTTCA